ACCCAGGGTGATATCTAAAACCTGCAGGACACCGGCCCTTGAGGCCTGGAGTTTTTCACCCCTAATGCAGGGTCTAAGTATCGCCTCATGTTACCACACTGATCAGTCAAAATGCAATACTAGTAAAAAATAATAATAATTTAAAAAATGCCAGCGCATATAATTTCCACCTGTAAAACCATACCTGTTTTGGGGGTTATCTCATTGTTGCCGTTCTGTTATAACAACCCCCTCTGCTACTTATCTGACCAGATCTGTCTCCCAGATGTTTAACTGTCTTGATGCTGCTCATGAAATTAAAGGATTGAAAGGTATTACTTTATTTATTTGAGTAAATACCAAAGTCCATGGATTTGTGTGTGTTACTGTATGTGTGTTACTTTCCATTAATTAATTAATGGGATTAATTAATTAATGGAAATTAATTAATTAATTCCATAATTAATTAATGGAATTAATTAATTAATTGGGGGGGTACCTCAAACATGCACTATGAAAAATGTCTGAACCTTTTTGTGCTCATTATCACATCTACTTTATAGGCTGTAGCACACATTAACAGAAGTTGATTCAAAGTGCTTCAAAGACATGGACATTTGCATTTGGAGTCAACAAAAAACAGTTTCAAAATACTTTGAAAGTGTACTTTGCTGCATTGATTAATTATTTTGAAAAGTTTTAAAAAAAAAAAAAATCATAGTGATTTACTGTCATTAAAATGCATAAGAATGTGCAAATTGATGATTCATCGTGATGATGACACATTGCTCTCCCCTACATTAAATAGTATCAGTGATACTGATGCTTTTATACTTTCAAAGTATCAGTACTGATATTGGCAATACTGGCACTGCATGTTCTGTACTTGATGTCCAATTGATACCAATATTTGTAACATGGCACAGTATCAATGGAGATTATGTGTGTGTCTTTTGGTGTATATTGAGCTGGACACCAACTAGGAATAGAACAAGTAAATATTTGGTTGTTTCTTGAAGCAAAAGTTCAGCTTCTGATGTGAGTATGGCTGTTAGGCTGCAAATGGAAACACGCAACAGAAGGTGGTCTTTTGTCTATAAGAACAGTGATAATAAAAGGGCCCAGACGCCTGTCAGGAGAGCTGCAAGACCTCCTCCTATAAGGACTTTGGTAAAGCACAATCTGTCAGAGCAGAGTAATAAACCCCCCAGTGCTGTATTCAGAGGTGTTTTATGTCACTCTAGGTCTGCTTAGTCTGATAATGTGAAATCAACAATGTCGATCACCATTAAAATTAGGATTTTTCCATTTTTTAGTTTTCAGTATTTAACGTGAATATATCTGGGGACTGACTGTTGGATATTCATCTTTCTAATATTTTATAAACCAATAATTACTCCAAAACAATGGCACATTAGCTGATTAATAGTCTAAACAGTAACTTGTTGCACTGGTAGTACAGAGTCCTGAAAGCAAACAAGTGAGAACACGTGGGTCAAACATGAGTATAGGATGCGCAACGATTTATTTTATCATCTAGAATACAGTACATCATTATTCCTCTGCTTACAAGCTTTCAGGGTTAAGGCCAACCTTTGAACAAAAACTATTTGCTACCTCTCGAAAAGTATCACCACTTCACAATGAGGAGTATGTGGGAACATGTCAACGGGCACAGCCAGAGTTGGTGAAAATGCTTCTCCTGTGAGTTTCTTCTGTGAGTTAGGATCACAGCAAAGTTCCTTGAAGTTCCTCATAGCTTCTCCGTCTGGTTTACAAGAAACGTAGACCAGCCTACGGATAGCCGGTTGGTTTCGCAAAGCCCGGACAACCCTGTGGTGGAGGCCGGCTCGAGCAGGATTTACCACGACTGTAAGGCCTCTGCCTGCGAAGCTCAGCTGAGATATAAGGCCAGGAAGCACAGCTTCTGCCTTCCCAGATATAAACTCACAGTTTAACACATTATTGAGAGCTGCGTTGTGTTTAGCGTCTTCCACTGCCTGTTCTGTGAGCTCTATACCGATAATTTTGTCCACTCTGGGAGAAATAGTGATTCCCATGGCACCCGTCCCACAGCACACATCTAGAAGAGTGCCGCCGGCTTTTGTTTGCCCTCCATCCTCCTCAGTGTTTGGGACACAAAGGTCTCTCACTGTGGCATAGAGGACTTCAGCAGCTGCCTGGTTCACCTGGAAAAAGGCGTCGGCCGAGATGCGGAACTTGAAGCCCAGTATCTGAGAATCACAAGATGACAGAGGAGCAATGAAAAAAAACAATCATAAGGTAAAAACACATTAAACAGTAGCTATCCACTCTTCTCTATTGCCTACATGAATTCAATGTTTATAAGGATGGTTTTATAAGTAAAGCTAATGTTATTGTTTTATGGCAGCTGACAACCAACATGAAGGTGTTTTACTGCCACCTGCTTGGCTAAAGTAGTGGTACAAGACTCCAAAATGCAAGCCTGCAAGGGATGCAATGAAAGGGAGCAATGGCTGTACACACAAAAACACACAGTTTTATATTTTATTGCTAAGTTTGAATAATGACTCCTGTCTTTTTTAAAGAGACAGTTCCCCCTGGTGGGCCACGAAGATACTGCAGGTGGGCCACAGTAATAACAGAAGCTCAGTTTTAGTATATTCAAGTATACTAAGTTTATTACAAATGTATGAAAATATACTTATTTATATAAAAAGTGAAACAAAACTGGTAATATTAGGTGGTTAAGTTGTGATATTAGTCATTACTCTGACCTAAAGTTACAGCTCTTGTATTGACATTTCTGTCTTCGGGTCACACACCGGCCTTAACACCTTGTGTATGATTGCGTAACATTAGAAATTTATAGACAACAGTCTGTGTTGTTTATGTTATTTAATAAAGTTGTCAAGGAAATACATCTCTTTCTCTTGTGTTTTAATTTGGGCGAAGATTCAGGGCTTGATGGGCTCCGTTGGATTTTCTGGTGTTTATGAGACACAGTACACTTACATTTTAGTCATACATGTTCCACTGCTTCCGTGATGTATCTTGTGGGGGGTTTTCCCAGTACTTCCACAGCTGTAAATAAGCTGAATTTCCTGCATGGCCTATTCTTAACCTCAAAAATATTATTTCTTCCCTTCTGCTTCTCCCTATTGCCTTGCTATGATAACTTTGCTATTACAAATAATGCTCTTACATGCCTCATTTACATGTCCTTAGATCCATCTGTATTTATTCTAAATAGCCTTAGTATACATTACCGTGCAAAAGTCTCGAGCCAACCCTAATTTCTTCATATTTTGCTAGGAAAATATGTGCAGCGACTTACTAAAACATGCACAAACATAAACTCGTGTGGTTATAAACGTGCAAGTACTGAATGATGCGCAGCTCTGCATGAGGCAACTGACACCAGCTTTCAGTAATGTTTTTCCAATATTCTCCGATTCTTTTGTGCGGGAATGGATCATGTTAAGCCATTATATAGCCAAGAGAATAAAAGAATAACAGATTTCAAACACTTTAATTAAATTTAAGTGTTTAAACGCGCACATTTACCTATTTTTGTTTCCTATTTTGGCAGTGAATCTGAATTAAAATGTACATGAAATTATTCATGAGAGCAAGCACTTGAACAGTGTCTGTGCAGCTGGACAGGGGATTATTAAATCTCTGTGAGGTTACCTCCTCATATATGTGTGGCTGACCATACAGAAGCTGATAGGGAGATTGCTCATGGGTGCACCGAGTCATGCTGCTCTCCTGGAAGTACAGTGAGTCCAGCTGACAGACCGATCCAGGACCCTGTGTGAAGTAATCCACCAGTTCCGCCTTATGGACGGCCACTTCTGCTGGGGTGAGGCTCTGTGGGTGAAAGTACACGATGGCCATGGTGCAGCCCTCTTTATTGGTCCTCACTGTGATCTCTCTCCAGTGACCCCCGGTGTGGAACAGCAGGCAGGGCTCCAGTGAGGACAGGCGGATGAAGTCTTGGTAGCACCTGGCCACCAGTTTGTGCTTCTGTGGCATGTTGAGCAGGTGGTCTCCGCTGACACAGACGATGTTCCCCTTCCTGCCTGTGCCCACATAAAATCCAACCGTCTTCGGATTGCCATCCACTCCTCTGTTGACTGAAAATGTGGACTTGTTGCGGTAGCCATCTCTCACTGGTGAGGGCAGAACAGGCAGCACAGGAAAGCTGAGTTTATCCCTGACAGGTGAGTCACCAGAAAGATGCCCAGAGAGCTGGGACAGGATCTTCTCCTGATTCTGTAGCTTGAGCTCAAGCTGCTTATCATAACTCAGCCTCCACAGAGGGGTGACCACATCTGCCAGCCTCTCCTCCCACGACACATCATCGGTCCATGAGGGTGGTTTCTTCTCCTTACCTTTCCTCCATCGCTTCTTTGATGGTGGGTTCCCCTGTTCGGTTACAATAGTGCCATTCGCTAGAAACCGCGGAAAGGTTTTCCTCAAGTAACGCAAAAGGTCACGTTTGACAAATATAACTGACTTGCTGCGTGCAGCTACCAAGGCCATTTTCTACTTTTGAAAAACTTGCTACTATGGCTGAGGGTCCTGCAGGAGGATTAGCGCATTGTAACATATAAGGTACGTGGCAAAAGACTTTACCGGGTGTTCATGAAGCACATGCTGGAGGTTCAAAGAAACTCCTCTGACGTCTTATTTACCGGACAGATAAGCTTGCTGTCGACATCCCCCTGCGTCCCAGGGCAAGTAAACATTTCCGCTGTGTCGCGATGGACTCAAACAAGGACGAAGCGGAGCGGTGCATTAAAATAGCCCTAAATGCAGTCAGTAACAATCAGCCGGATAAAGCCAGAAAGTTCCTAGAGAAGGCACAACGCCTGTTTCCGACAGAGCAAGCCAAAAGTACGTCGAATAAACGCCTGTTTGGGAAGTGATTGGGGGTTTTTAAATCATGGGTGCTAGGCCGTCGCTGTGAAACCGAAGCAGCTAACGCTAGCATTAACGTTACACCAGCTGCTAGCCGACACTGGTATTTGTAGTTTTTCAGCCTAGAGTCGCGTTTCTCTAACACGTTTGGTTTCTTCAACATAGTGGACGATTAGTCGGTATTCGCAGTTTTATCCCTTATAGAGTGGTCTTCGTAGCAGCTGGGATGCTAACAAGTAGCTAACCGTGGTAGGATTAACGAGATAGGAAACGTGAACTCAGGTGGCAACCGTCGATAATGTCTCCTCTGTCTTTTCACAGACTTACTGGAGTCTTTAGCGCAGAATGGAAAGCCTCCGGAGGAGAACGGCAGTCATGTGAACGGAGAAGGACCCGCTATGAGACACCGCGGCGGCAGAGAGGAGCCCGAAGTGTCCGCACAAGCGACAGCGGACTCGGGAAAGTCCTACACAGCCGAGCAGCTGGAGGCCGTTAAAAAGTCAGTTCGCGTTTATGTGCTCCCTTTGTTGCAGTGAAAATGCTGGTAGAGCTGGCTGACGTCGATGTCACTAGACGTTTGTCAAAAAGTCAGTGTGATTATAGTGAATATACGCTACCTGACCAGTTTATTAGGTACACTTGCTGGCAAATGCAAGGATTTCAACAGCCAATGACATGGCAGCAACCTAGTGCATTTAGTTATTAAGACATGTCCAAGACGACCCCTTTAAGTGCAACCTGAGCAGGAGAATAGGGAAGACGTGTGGTTCAAGGGACTTTGAATGTGGAGTGGTTATAGGTGCCAGGCAGGCTGGTCTCAGTATTTCAGAAACTGCTGATCCGCTGAGCTTGAGTGTGATTGAGATTGGCTAGACTTCTTCCAGCAGTAACTCAAATAACCTCTCATTAAAATCAAGGTATGCTGAAGAGCATTTCTATAGGCAGAACGCATCGAACCGAAACCATCGAGGTGTCACTCCTGTCAGCTAAGAACAGCAAACTGAGGCCAAGATTCACACAGTCTCACCAAAATTGGCCAGAAGAAAATTGGTAAAAATGCTGTTTGGTATGATGAATCTCAGCATTTGGATGCTAGGGTCAAAATTTGGCATAAACTGCATGGATTTAACCTGCCTTGTATCAACAGTTCAGGCTCTTCATTGTAGTGAAATTTTGTGGGGGATATTTTTATGGCATGCTCTGGCCTCCTTCGAACCAACTGAGCATCCTTTAAATGCCACACCCTGCCTGAGTGTTGTTGCTAACCATGCCCATGCTTTTATGACCTCAGACCACAAAGCTCACATCATCTCAAAGTAGTCTCACAGTGAGTTCACTGTACTCAAATGATCGCCAGCTCTCTATCCGATAGAGCACTTTTGGGATGTGGAGAAACGGGAGAGTCACATCATGGATGTACAGCCAGCAGATCTGCAGCAACTTTGATGCTGTCATGTAAATATGGAACAAAATCATGAGGAATGTTTTCCAATACTTTGTTGAACCCATGCCGTAAAAGAATTAAGGCACCTCTGAAGGCAAAAAGACATCCCATTCAGCAAGGTGGCCCTCATAAAGTGTGCAGTGACTGTATTTCACACATCACTCAGTCCAGCAGATTTAGTTGACCAAGAGGTCAACAGGTTTAGGTTTAGGATGACAAGATATCATTACTACTGGGATGTGATGACCACATTATCTAATCCATCTATATCTCATGGCTCCAGACTTATTAGTTCCTTTTATCAATGCTGACATGTTTTGTTTTTTTTACAGTTGCAAAACAGTGACGTCAAACAGACGTCTTCTACACACCCAAGTGATGTGCAAATCTGTTTCCCCCCTCTACAGAAAATTGATCTAGAATCAATAAGAGAAGTGATAAAAGTATCGGACCCATAAGCAGTGTCAGTAGTTGCACCGGTGTCAATATCGGTCCCTAAAGATGGCAAAGCAGGTAGAAATGATGGTTCATGTAAAGTTAAAGTAGTTAGATCTGAAGAGAGAGAGAGCTCAAACTGGGGATGTGAATGTTGTAAATATATATATATATTTTATTATTTGCGGAAATTAAAAAAATAAGCATCATAAAATCGACATAGTGTAAGACTCAGAGTCACATCTCTATAGCTCTAACTACATATTGTGTTTATAGTGTTTTATTTTATTTATCATGTGTAGTCTGCTAACAATCTCTTTTTTTTTCCCTGCAGGATTAAGAGCTGTAAAGATTACTATCAAATCCTAGGAGTGGAAAAGACTGCCTCTGAGGAGGACCTTAAAAAGGCTTACAGAAAGCTCGCTCTGAAATTTCACCCAGATAAAAATCACGCACCAGGAGCCACAGAAGCATTTAAAGGTAAATGAAAAGTTATTTATGGGAAAGACATGGACACAAAGATTTAGAAAGTGCATAACGGTGGTGATCTTCTGTGTGTCTCGCAGCTATTGGTAATGCATATGCTGTTCTGAGTAACACTGAGAAACGAAGGCAGTACGACCAGTATGGCGAGGAGAGAACGCACCCGAGCAGACACAGACACCATCATGAGTTTGAAGCAGATATCTCACCCGAGGACCTCTTTAACATGTTCTTTGGTGGAGGCTTTCCAACAAGTAAGTAGAGCTCAAAGGAATGATAACATCCCAGTAAAGATGTTTGGCGTGTTTTGATACACTCTTATCAAAGCAAGCAAGGGATCTTAGAAATTCTGCACAACACGAGAGTCAGCTAGTGGTTATTACATAACCATAATATGTAATCTTCTCTCATATCTGGCAATTTTACAAAGCAGCTTCCCAGATTACCTTTCTAAATGCAGAAAGATAATCACTCCAGACTGAAAGCCAGCATATTCAGCTGGTTTTAGATGCTTACATGTGTTAGAAATGAGTTGAGTTGAAAGGTTTGAAAAACTCTTGGTAATCATCGAGGATCATGTCGCCTTCACCATTGTCTGTCCTTACCACCAAAGTGTCTGTATGGAGGCAGTGAAGGAGGAACCTGCAAACCAGCTTATTGTGTGAATCTAGGCATTTGCTTACCATGCATCATTTTCATCCTCCACAACAAGAAAATGCAGGCTGACACCAGCACAAACGGACCTGGGTACATCTTTATAGCACTGCTGCTTTATCATTTAGCATATGAAGAGTTTGGAGTTTGGGGAGGTTTTTGCCTTCAGAGACCCTCCTGGGAGGGTTTTTTTTTTTTAAAAACCAGGACAAACGTGTTCATGTTTAGTTCTCCAAAATCCCAACTGCACTGTGCTTGATGTCGATGACGCTGTGTTGAGTGGGCTGTAACAAGGAAGGGGGAGACAGCAGCATTCATGAGGAATGGGAATTGCAAAAAAGCCATCAAAGGCCACAAAGCACAGCACAAAAAGCACAAACAGCAGCTCCAGTGGACACTCGGATTCCCATCAGCTCTTTGTGTGTTGTTACTTCAGCTTGCTTACAGACCAAGAAGAGCACAAGCAAGAGTAGCCCCCAGACTGGTTGTACCACATATTTTTGACACTGCCCTCATCTGTCAACAGACGCTTTCTGCAGGTAGCGGGCTTCCATAACTGCCCGCAGACTGCCAACAAGCTACCGCTACTGATTCATCACTTCTCCATAAATTTGGTCGGGTCCTCTGTAATGTTTAGTTATGTGGTAGTTGAGATGCTTTCTCTGACTTTCTCTGTAACTGTTGCTCAAGTTGTGTTGCAGTATAATTAGGAGAGATGGTGTCATAAACACCAGACCGGTTTCACCAAATAACATGATTCCTTGGACCAATTTTTGTTAAAAATAACAGAACATCCTTCTCTGTGGTTGAGCATGAGAATGCCATAAGTGATTAGGCAGAAAGTTTGAGTATGCTTTGGACTGAATTTTACATATCCAAGAGGCGCAGTTTCATAATCGTGATGTGTTCAAATTTTGCAGGTAATGTACATGTTTACAGAAATGGAAGAATGCACTTTGCACACCATAATAGGCAAGAAAGACGAGAACAACAGAGAGATGTGAGTACAAGCTTAAACCTTGTAAGACCTTCAATACACTTGATATTTATACCACCTGATTTAGTGTCTGATCTGTGGTTAAAAACTAATCAGTCCATTATTGTTTTTTTTCTCTCTTCACAGGGAGGTCTGGCTCTGTTTGTCCAGCTGATGCCCATCTTAATACTCATCATTGTTTCAGCTCTCAGTCAGATGATGGTCACCCAGCCTCCATACAGCCTTAGCTACCGCCCGTAAGTGGTGCATTGGTTAATGAGGTTGTGCAAGTGTCTGAACATCTGTCACACCCTCAGTTATGCATTTTTCTATACCAGGTCAGCAGGACATATCCACAAAAGGCATACATCAAGCCTGAAGGTGCCTTTTTATGTGGGAGAACGTTTCAATGAGGAATATTCTGGAAATATGCTGAAGACTGTGGAGAGAAGTGTAGAAGAAGACTACATCTCCAATCTAAGAAACAACTGTTGGAAGGAGAAGCAGCAGAGTGAGTTTACAGCATTAGCTATGATTATTATTGAGTTTTACATTACTGGAGTTTAAATATTTGAAGTAATAATTTGATTCAAGATCTGATGCAAAACAAGAAGATAACTGGAAAATTTTTACATTTTTAGGGTGGAATTATTCTTTTTTTCTTCAAATTTGGCTTTAAAGATTAACTCTTATTGTTTACATTTCATTTTCTTTTCTTCATTGAATATTTTATGTCACCTTGTAGTGCTTGAGCTTGTTTGGTTAACATCCCAAGTTCTTTAAAACAACGTCCAACTGAGCAATTTAACACCAGTATAAAAAATAGATGTAGCCACCATGATGTCACCTGGAGGTCGGAGGATTCCTGTTTTGCAGCCTTGGGTTGAGCAGTTATTGCTGCCTTGGTGTTTTGAAACCGGGCTCGTCCCGTGTGAAACCAAGGACACCACGACCTTGTATTATCTTTTTTAACTCCGAGTGGGATCATAGTTTACAAAATGAACTTCAGGATTTATTCAGTTAGATTTTAGCCTAGCAATTGAGGTAATCAAGTCGTCAGGAAAGTATTTACTGGGATGACAGAGCAGAACCAGACCTGGAGGAAAGCTCCCCCTGCTGGCTGTTGGGAGTTGGCTTCGCGCTTCAAACCAGGAGCCTAAATCCATATTTTATTCTATGTTTAACACTTAAGTTCTGCCTGATTTTGAACCAGTTAATGTGAATTGTACTGACAAATTCTCTTCTTGTACTTTCAGAGGAAGGCTTACTGTATCGTGCTCGTTACTTCGGGGATTCTGAGTTGTACCAGAGAGCACAGAGGATGGGGACTCCCAGCTGTTCCAGACTATCTGAGATTCAAGTCATATTGGATGGCTAGAAAACACTTCTGCACATATGGGTACGTTGCTGTCTGTGGCATACAGTATGAGTGCTACAGGATGCCGTATATGGACTGGAAAGAATTCAGAGTTTTTGCATGTTTTATCTGACACATCCCCCATTACTCCAGCCACTCAGAATGCTGTTTTAAATTTATTTTTAATATCTTACAAGAATCAGTCAGTACACCTTGTTTTTGCGTGGCTTGATAATCGAGCTGTGTCAGGGACTGATACCAGATATTCAAGAGAAGGGATGTCAAACTCAATTTACATCGCAGGCCACATACAGCCCACTTTGATCTTAAGTGGGCCGGATGAGTGACACTCTTCTTCCTGTCAGTGTAAAGGAGTTTAACTACCCCTTTATTCCCTAAGATGTCTTAATATAAGGAAAACAAGTGCAATTTAAACAATGTGTCACAGTTTTTCTGCATGGTTAAAAAAAAAGCTCCTGCAGTAAATGAAAGAAATCTGTCTTTGACTGTGATTGTTTAGCCATATTGAGCTAAGGAAACATCCCTATAAATTAACTTTCCACCTTTTAAAGTAGGAACTACAATTCAAAAAGAGTGACCAGGTGTAAAGTAACAGTAGCTGGTTTGGTGAAAACATGCAAAATTATCTGTATAATTTAACCTTTCCACTCATGGTGAATGTTACTGAGTAATAGTGATAATGAATGATATTTTTAAGAAACTTAAATATATATAACATTGAAGTGATTATCCTGTGATATGAATGGCTGTATAACTGTGATTTATTCTCTTGGTTTTCTCAGGTTCGTCAGTACTTGAATCTAATTAGAAGAAATCGGTCGGAGCCCACTCAAATTTGACCACATTTCTGCAGCAAACCAAGAGAATCAAAAAATGCCTTACGTGTAGTGGGCAGCAGACCTCATCAGGGAACCTCTCTGCGCCTCGGTGTAGATTGACTTCCTGTAGAACTGTGAGAAGCTTTGAGTTCACTGCTGACATTGTCTTACTAGAATCTTTACAGTGGTGAGAGGCGGCCGGGTAGTCGTGCTGAAAAGTAAGAGCATTGTTGTCGGTACGCAAAGCTACTAAGATTAGCTTCCTCTGTCCCAATCGTTTTCTTTTTCTTAAATATTTTGAGAAACCCGATGGCCTTCTCATAGACGGATGTCTGAGCCACTCACAAGGAAAGCGTGTAATTTTTGTAGTTTTACCAATGTAAATATTCATTTTACTTTTAACAGTGCAGGGGTTATTGAAGTCATTTACATTGTTAAGTGGATTTGCTTGTAGCCTGTTGGATCATAATTACTGTAAACTGTTGCACAAATGAAAGTAAACCATATTTATTAAATTAACATGCTAAAATTGTATAAAAGTTTCTTTGAATTAAAATTGTCCAATGATTGACTGGTGCACGCCTTTTGTTTTTCATCATACATACACGTACACACACTCGCTTATGTGCTTCAATAGTAAGTCAGTTTTTGTGTCCCAAATTAAATTACACTATGTAAGTCAGGGTATAAAAGAGGGTTTCTGAGTGTGCCTAAATGCAGCATTCACAGGAAACTGGAATCACAGTTCAAAAGCTTTAAATTTTTAATTTTCAGTTATTTCTTCAAGTTTACAGTTTTGACGTCCTCGTTGGATTTTCTAGCTGCTTAAACTGTGTGCTGCAGTGTATGTAGTAGATATGGGGGTGAGAATGATGACCTATAGCGTCACAATATCCCCGTTTTGGTATTTGCTGTTTCTCTGGTGGCATAATGTTATTCTAGGACCATCACTGCAACTGATCAGTCATGGTGTTTGTGTCATATGTTTGTGACTTTGGTGGGAAATCTGGAAAAAATGCCACAGAAACACTTAAAAGCTGGACGTAAAAGGCCTTCGGGAGTCAGTAACCGGCCTTCAGCTGGTTGTGGTGGGTGAACGGACGAGTTTCGCTCTGGGAAAGTAGAGATTTGTGTCCTCTGTGTTTTGTGGTTTTGGTTTTGTTTTTTGTTTTTTTTAAAAAAGGAAAAAAAGTCAGTGTTAAATTTTATTTTAGACGTCTTGCTTCATTATACTTTAAGGTTTCAGTTGCATTTCGGCTAGCATTTGGAAACAACTGTGGTTTGGTTTTTTTCCATGTTTACTGTTCCTAAGAAAGCTTTTTTGGGATTTGGATGGCCTGAAGGAAAAATTCTCACATGTGTAAGAAAAGGTGACACATCTGCTTCGTGACGCATTCGCTTCATGTGAATCATCACACTTTGAACCACCGGTTTACACCTTGTCTAATGTTGGCTTTAGGTTGAGACACACACAAGATAAGTTGGTTCCAATTAGAGTTTAATTATGATGTACAGTGCTGCGTAAAAATATTGAGCCTCTCCTCATTTCTTCATATTTTTCCAGGGAAACTGATGCAAACACACATGGAAATATGATATATATATATATATATATATATATATAAGCAAAAACAGTTTGTACATTTCTAACAAGCTTCAAAGTCAATTTTTGATGTGGCCACTTTTAAACCTAAACACAGCCTGAGCTCTTACCAAACTTTCTTGTCATTTCTTTAAGTAGTTCAAAGCTCTTCCTTGGTTGTTGACTGCTTTTTTGTTATGTTCTCTGTCAAAATGATCCCAAACTGCTTCAGCAAAGTTGAAGTCCAGTATCTGGGGAGGCCAATCCATGAATGATTGATGGAGTGCTCCATTGTGTGGAATAGTATGCTTTTTCTGTATTGGCGATGTGTTTGGGATCATTGTCATGCTGAAAAATGAAGTCGCTGACTGATTAATAACTAATTGAAGGTCTCTCAGGTCTTTCAGATGCTGTTCATCTGCTGCAGCTTTTTCAGGCCTGTTACTTTTCCAGATTTTTAATTTTTTTTAAGGCCACACTTCACACCACGCTGTGCTACGCCAGGAATTTGGCTAATAGCTCTTTGGGAATCATCTTGTTGTTACAAAAATACAGTTTTATGCACTTCAAACTATGGTAACTTTTTTTTTTGTAGGTTCAACTAAAGGTTTGTCATTCTGTTAAGTGCCTTTCTTATGCTTGAACGATGTCAAAGATTTTTAGTAAACCTGGCGAGCTAATGCTTAAGACCTTTTTAAAATGTATAAAGTTGTTGGAAGCAAAATATTTTTAAAACTGATGCGTTCCTCAAGACTTTTGAATATTACTGTTGAACATTCACACATTTCCTATGATAACCGTTATCAGACAGTACTATCTCACTTTAATTTTACTGCTGTCTGCCAGTTTCCCCCCTTTCCCACTTTCTGTGATTTATGTACTTAATTATTTTGGTGTATAATGGCCAAAGGGGAGGTAGAGTCTAAAATTGATATCTTCCTTTACATTTCCCATACCATCCAAAGGGCAGAGTGGAGTCTTTGGTGGGCAGTACTGGACTCCGGGCTTCATGTTTAACACCCCTGATGTCAAGTCATTAAGTACTGACTACTCTAAGAAAACTGCAGGAAGTATCTGTTTACAGCAGTAACATAACTGAATGGTTGGTGCAAGAGAAATAAAATACAACATACTGCTGCTTTACTGTTTTGTCTCAGCACTGCAGTACATAGCATGTATGAATTTGTGTGGATATGGGACACAGCCAGATAAAACTCACAGAAAAAGTTAATAAAAAAAATAATTTATTCTCTCATGTTAAAAAAAAAAATACAAAACGAGTGTCCGTTGGTATATTTAAATGTCACATACATAAGGCATTCCCTTATAGGTGTGGCTTCACATTCACAGGAATGAAACTGACCCATGTGCAAACACTAATCTTCACTGCACCCACATGAGTAGCTGCTATGAGACAAAGGTAGTTCAGTATTAACCCCGTCATACATCATCACAGACAGGTCATCATTGTTATGTCTCGACAGTGCTTTTGTTAAGACTTTGCATTAATTAGCAGCTTCGTTACAGTTTCTTTAGAGTTCAGCTTATCGGAGACAGGAGTGCTCAGCGATCAGCACTCCTCAACCAGCAGTGCGGCTGAACTGTACAGTTTCCTCTTGATAGCCCTGAAACTCGTGCTCAGCTTCAGGGTGTTGTGGTGCTTTGGAGACGGTGAGGATGTCTGTGCTGGTTTGCTACTTTTGAAGAGCTTCTGAACTTTTGGCCACAGTCCACTGGACTCCACCCTCATCACCAGTGTCACATGGAAAGTTGGGACAAGGGATGGATCTACTGCTATTTGATCCACAGTACATGGGGAGTCCTGTTCCCCCATGTCAACGCACAGGTCGATGAGTGCTCCCCTGAGACCACAAGGCTCTATCGCGGCCAAGTGGAGCAGCTCTTGGCTGATATTGTGTAGCAGGCAGTCAGGGAGCATGAGTTTGGAGCAATCCAAGCTGGTGTGCGATGCATCACTGAGACTATGTGCAATGGCAGTCACAACGTCTGCAGCCAAGGTCTCCTCCAGAGGATAGAAGAAGGAGCTGATGTCTAACTCTGACAGATCTGTCATAGATCCTGAAACAAAGGAGTAGCTACAAGTTAGTAAGGAATATATAGAAGTGTGGGATTCACCTTTCTTTTTTTAAGTTTTCTAATCATTAAACAAAGTGGAAGAAAGACTGAAAAGCATATTTTCTTTGTACTTTAAGACTTCATTCTCTCTTGTTCTCTGTTTCTCTTTCCAAAATGCATTTAAACAATCAGAAATTATACATATATATTCTTGAACAGCGTTAGTTTGATCAAATGACACTCACCAGATTCACTCCTGCAGTACTGATTGTCTGTCACCCTCTGATTGTGGCCCTTCAGCTCTGTCAGCTTGTGAAGCAAACTGCTCCAGGACAGCCGCTGTGAGCCCCTGTCCTCCGATGGAGATGGAGGAAAACTACCGTCCAGAGACTGATTGCAAGACATCCTTAAAAACAAAAAAATTAAAGTGCTATTGTATCCCCGGATGGTGGCCCCGTCCCTTGAACCAGACCAGCTGGAAGACCTCTGCAACAATGGAACAAAGCCTTAAATACCCACGAAAAGAACACCCCGCCCATCGTATTTTTCCACCAATGACGATTCAGCTCACGTCCTCAGTCCTCTGCCTTGCCTGGTAACACTGCTGATCCCTTTGATGATTAGGCAAAGCCCCCTCTGCCGGTATTGCAGCAACAGCCCGACCCCCATCCTGCATACGCGCAGAAGTTCCTGCTCTTTTTACTCTTTATTTTTTTACTGCTCTATTTGTTGGTCATTTTAAAGGTAAAGTAAAGATTGCCACACAAATCCCACTAAACGATAAAGAAAGATCAGCCCAACAGAAATTTCACACGAAAGCCCAGAGGAAAAGACGATGACTGTACAGTTGTTGAAAGATCGATTCCTGTGAATCACATGGGGGACACGTCTCGCACGTAGACCTCGTTTGTCGTTTCCTTCAAATGGTCAGAAAGAGTGCTGACCATTAACTTTACAGCTTTTGTTTTAAACAGCCCCCCTGGGAATAATTTATAAACGTTTAAAAGTCTCTTCAGCAGGGGCCAAACCTAAACTCAAACTGCCAACTCAAACTAAACTTCAACAGGCAGTTTCTCAGGCATGAAGTAAGCCCAGTCGACAATAATGGCACAAAAAACAGCCTATGAATACCAGATTTTTTTTAAAGGGGGCGTTGTAGTGATCATAGCCTAGATCTTATTATTTTTAATGAGTTTTATTTTCCCCTCTGCACATCCTCATAGTTTCATTCTCCTTTTTCTTTAATGATAATTTTGTTTTAAAGTTAAAGTTGGTTTAAAGAAGGTCTCTCAGGTCTTTCCATTACCAAAAAAGCACTGTGTAAAACAGAATGCAATCAAAGTCAAAACTCTTAAAACCATATATTATTCATAATAAAACACAGAAATCATTTAATAATTTACTATTTTATCTCATTCTGAATTTGATGGCAGCAACAATTGTTTAAAAAAAAGTTGTGAAAGAAACAGGTGGTGAAATATTTTTAACTAATTAAGTTAATTGGCAATAAGTCAACAATAGATTGGATATTTAAAAGAGTTTGTCTGAAGTAAAGATGGGCAGAGGTTCACTAATCTGTAAATAAAAAAATCTGCATTTACAAATTGTGGAACGATTTCAGAACAATATTCCTGAAGGTAAAATTGTAAAGATTTTAAATATCATCTAAATAAAAAAACATTATCATCAAAAGATTCTTAAAATCTGGAGGAATCTCTGTGTGAAATCAGTATTGGATGCTAGTCTTTGGGCATTCAGGCAGTATTGCATTAAAAACAGACATGATTCTGTCATGGAAGTTATTGCATCAGCTCAGAGACACTTCCAGAAATCATTATCTGTGACCACATGTCATGCTATTCCCAAATCTAGGTTAAAGCTTTGTCATGCAAAGAGGAAGCCATGTGCCAACATGATCTGGAAATGCCACTGCCCAATCTGAGCCAAAGCTAAAAAATGGGAAAGTGGAAAACTGTTCTGTGGTTTAGACAAGTTTAAAGTTATACACAGGTTTTAGCAACATTTGCTCCATCCAGCTGATGTCCTTTCCAGGACCCACACATCCTAGATCTATTACAACAGCATGGCTTTGAAGTAGAAGAGTCCGGGTGCGGAACTGCCTTCAGTTCAATACAACAAAAATACAAGAAGATCCAGGACTGTTGAGCACATGGAATTTATATCAGGCAAGATTGGAAGAACAGTCCTTTCCCAGAAGTCCAGCAGCTCCTCTCCCCAGTTCCTAGACATTTATGGAGTGCTGTTAAAAGGGGAGGGGGTGCTACACAGCCTAAAACATGGCCCTGTCCCACCTGTTTTCACATTTGTTGCTGCCATTTTCTCAGTTTAACCAGCTGATACGTCCCTGTGCTCTTCTGTGAATAAAATATGGGTGTATGAGATCTGAAAATCATTCTGTTTTTATTTACATTTTACACAGCTTACACATGCTAGTTTTTCCTTTTTAAATGTTAGTTTTTTCCAGTCAGTCAATAAGCTTTAGTGACAGATTGGTGTCACAACTTTATGACCATGTTGTTCATTTAAATGCTTTAATAAATGACTAGAACGTGTGCTATTCTCAGAGACCCAAAGTTTAAGAAAAATCTTGCACGATTCTGGCTCATGATTTCTAACAGGGAGGCTTTACCATCCCCCACTGCTGCAAATGCCTCCAGACCTGTTTACAATAGCAGGTATTTGCTCTCCAACTTAAAGTCTTAAGCCTCTGTGTCCATTCATGCCTCTTATTTTTATGGGGATTGTAGGTTACTTACATCCCATTCTGGGGACTGACCTTCTCTTTGACTTGGTTTGTTGGAATAAAAACCCAAAGAAGCACAGAAAAGTACTAGTATAATTTTGAAAACTACCACTTGCTTTAAACTGAAGTTGAAGCTTAGTTGATTAAAACTATGTAAAAGCAAAAGTATATTAGATGTAAAATATACATTCAAATTGACTATATGAATGAACATTTGAGGAAATTATAACAATACAATACAAAAAAAAGTTGATATCTGATTCAGTTTACCTGACTGGTCCTTGTTTAACAGTCTTACAAACTAAAACAGCTTTACAGCACTCATATGATAAATTGCTATGATTTTACATTTGCAATATCAGAAAGCCCAGATAGCCTAAGTGTTGCAACAAGCAGGAAATAATCCTGTTTGACATTTGTTGATGATCTCATCATTACTACAGCTGCTAATGTGTGAGCCCTAAGAAATGGTTGCTGTGAGTTAGTTTGTGTATATATATATATATATATATATATATATATGTGTGTGTGTGTATGTATATATGTGATCTGAGCAAGATTTCAAAAGTCCATTATTGCAAGTCATATCAAAAACTGACTCACAGTCAGTCACGTAGTCATCCCAGTCTCATAATATGTACGCACCAGAACCACCTGATACTGGTTGTGATGACACATTTGACCTCACTGACTAAGACTAAAACTCTCTTTTTTTTTCTCTGCAGCTTTACGCAAGTATAGTTTTGTGAGCGCTAAACTTTTTTTTTAAAGTTTACCTTTTATTTAGCACATAAACAGTGTTGTGATAAGACTAAGAACGCTGCAGAGATGGTGCAGAATGTGTTGGCAGAAAGCCTCATTTGGTTAAAAAGAAAACACCACATTTGTGATAACTGAAATGGCACATGCAAGGATACCGATGGTTAGACCCTCGTGCAGTAAAGAGGATGTATGATGTATCGCAAGACACAATAAGATCGCTGATCAGGTTCCTTCACTAATTCACCTACACAAGGCAGCTGTAGCAGTTGTTTGAATTTAAACGACGACTTTATTCTCCACATTTCAACTTTATTCTGAAAATGAACAAAAACATATATTTTTGGTGTTACCCTAATAGTTGTAGTAAAGAGGTAGTAAACAAGGAAAGGTAAAACAGAAAAATTTCAGTAGCTGACTACACAAAAAAATAAAAAAGCTGAACTACCTAACAATAAACTAATGCCAAAACTATTTAAGCTACGTTCATTTCATAGTGCAGTTTGTGTGTTTAATCGCACTTAACCTAGTGGTGAAATTCCAGAGTCGGCCCCCGATTGATGTAATGCACTGCATAACCAGATAGTGGCGTCACTGTACAAGCTTTAAGTTTCACACGACGAAGAAGCTGCAGCCAGTGTGGTGAAAGTGCTTATGTTTGCATGGGAAATGTTTATGCCCGGTTGCATCTATTGTTTGTGCCCGTGAACACACAGCAGGCTGTCTGACGTATCTTTTTCACGGGCGTTTCAACTGTAGCAAGTGTGTTTTATTCTGCTCCATTAATGTTTCTCCGCACACAGCGCCGGTGCCGTTTTCCTGAGCTTAAGCCGGCAGACTACACTGTTTGGGGGAAAACATTATTTGTACATTGTCATGGAAGAAAAGTAAAAAGGGAAACAAAGCGTGACAGGCAGTGTGTTTTACAATTCAAACAGGCCTGAGAGGGCTGTTAAGCTGGCCAGCCTCGGGCTAATTCATGTATAATAAATCTATTACCAAGTGGCTTGTTGAGAGTGCTTTTTTTTGTTGTTGTTGTTTTCTGGAAGTACTTCCTTTAATCAGAGGATCATTGGAGCGATCCACAAAGAAAATCCTACCTGTATTTTTTTCATCCCAGCAAACTACTTGTTTCAGTAACTGGTGTGAAAATAACCCGAGCAATTACGATGCACTTAACCAGAATGTGCTCAGATACCGCCTTCTTCTTCACGCTCTTTTGCATACGCTTATGTTAATGAATTCAGTAAGAGGTGAAAGGGTCCCTGGATTGTGTTTGGGAGGCTGTGACTATAGCAACGGCATGCCGTTGTGAGCAGAAGTACTTTATTGCTGTTTATCACTCCTCGTGGCACGAAAAATGAGGTGGTGTCTGTCACTCTGAGGAGACACTTCCAACTGAAGAAGAATAACCTTTCCATCTCAGGCCCCCTCGTGTTTATCTGAAAAGGCTTTTGCAGTGAATGCAGGATCGGCTGTTTGGCTCGGCGAGGCTGCATCACCTGACGCTGGACCTGGGACAGGTTTTGATTTATTGCTGGAAGAAGCAGAAACAGACCCACACTCTCAGGGGAGGGGAAAATGTGATGTTTAGCTTTTTTCTCTCTCTCTCTCTTTGTTTGTGAAGATACACTCTTCTTTATTAAAGCATTAACACGTTACACAACACTCCAGAGGGTGGATCTGCTGGGCCTTTCTGTTCAAAGATGATAGATTTGAAAAAAGAAAGAAGAAAAAAAAGAGGCCTAGTAAGGAACATTTTACCACTATCTGCTTTAAATACATTTACAGAGGTGTAATAAGCCCTGTGTCATTCATTTATTATTGTTGTTGGTCACGGAACATGAGCAACAAAACAAAAAGGTGTTATCGTTTCCTTTCACTGACTGCCAACTTGACATAAAGCACCCAAAGGAGGTGGATTATTTGCATTTTCCAGCTTTGGTTGCTGAGTTTGTGAACGAGTTTCATTATTGATATTGATCGGGTGTAATTTGGCACAGAGGCTGCATTGCTAAGTGATAGGTAGCAGAGCAAAAAAGTCACTGCATGCATGATGACTTAAGACAGAGAAAAGGATCCCAATCATTATTTATAAGTACTCTTAGTGTGACTTGTCCCAGAGTGAAGCTCTCTCTCTCTGTCTCTCATTTTAGAAGCATGTGCATTATTTAGCAATCCTGCCAAACACAGCCTTCCTCGGCTGTTGTGACTGCTCTTTGAATCTTAAAGTATCCTGGATATCGTCCGTGTTTACTGGACTAATACCACCTATTAGTCTTGAATGGACGTTACAGTTTAAGGGAAAGGTTCTGCAGTTTGCTTTTTTCCAGCCCAAAGTTAAATAACATCATTAATATAATGATATCTGTAGGGAGACCTGAACCAATTGACTGACCCCTTAAACAGACTGCTAGAAAGTCATTAGTAATGGCACACATTCATTAAAAAAGTATTAATTAATAAGCTGACAATTAACTTAGGCTCCAAGACTGGCTCGTGGATACACACAGCTGTTCTGGATGACAGAATCCAAAATGTTTCGTTAATGAACTTCACTTGATCTGTGCGGTTGTCACAATTACATCTCTTCCTCTGAGTCACAAAGCATCAGACCCGGGGAAAACACACTCACATGACAGAGGAGTATATTCACAGTGCTTTTATAAGATTACATTACAGCCTATAGTACTATGACTCTAGGATTTCTCAGCCATTTATTTCCTTTTCTGTCTCCAAAGAACGAGATGAAAATTGTCGGTTCCCGTGTTCCTTCCTTTCGCTTTCTGCTTCATTGCTCCGTGACTGTCATATCACATCTGTCTGGGTTCACGGCCAGGCCTTTGCGCGATTCCTGCTGCAGTAGCTTCAGTTTTTCCCCCTAATATGTGACTTACAAGAGAGAAGTTAATCACACTGTAATTTTGCTTCATGCTGTTCATTGCTTTCAGTTTGATTAATGTTACTGAGATTAAAGCAGGGAGATTGCATGTATTCGTGTCTGGCTACAGTTAGCTTTAGTTGAACGCAGGAAGTACAAACTAAGCAGAGTCCAACCAGCTAGAAAATTTGTTGTTTGCACACATGAATATTTTATTCAGCTTGAGTGTGTAGCATTAAAAAAAAGCATTTGCATGCTTGCTGTATGCTTCACTATATGTGGATTAAGCTCAGCTGCTTTCACGCACTTGATTGTATCACATCACATAATTTCTATGCACGAGTCCATGTTCAGTTTGAACAACTTCCTGTCTTTACGCCTGCCTTTCTTAAGGTCTCAAATACACTTCTTTCAGGATGAGATAAAGATGGCATCAGTTAATCCAGCATTTCATTTACAAGCTGTCATTCACTGCTCCTCTCTAGGGCTGAGACTGCAGCAGGCTATGCAGATATAGTCAAACGCTATAGCCTGGCAAAGTGCAAATGCTGTACTTCCCCAAAAAATGCATCAAAACATTTTATACAACGCAACCGAGACGTATCATAGAACTACAGTCAACATAACCACATCGCATACCTCTTTTTGTGTTGTCATTAATCCAGATAACAATCAACATTGACTCTTTTCTGTATTTTTTTTTCTATTTTAGCCAACTTTGTTTCATTGTTATAATGTAGATACAAGGGCAAAATGCAAGGTTGTCAGTTTGTCAATCAAGATATAACAATGTAATTAACTATTGCTTTAACTTTATTCCATAAGAAAATCACATGAAATCAGACAGCACTGTGGTAATTTGTTTCATTTTTATTAAGACTGAGAGGTTTTGATTAAGTTCACATACAATAATGAGTTCTGACAGCATGAACAGTACAATTTGAATAATTCATAACATTTGTTGTAGGTGTGTTGCACTTAGGTATCCCATTTCTAGGGCCTGGTGTCATGTATGCTGCCCCTTACTGGGACACTTAGCAGAGTCGTGTGAGTTTACACCTTAGTTAACACCTTTTTGGATGCCGCAGGAGAAAATTTGTTGTCCACTGCATCTTTAAAAGTTACATGAGAACAAAATCTTTTCAAAATGTCAGTCCAGTTTTAAACAACATCACAGAACTGAGACGGTGCCTTTTAGAGGCACAAATGATATTTTAAAAACTGCTGACACTGATGAATGTTCTGTCCTTGTTCTTCTTGACTTAAGTGCAACATTTGATGCAACAGTCCATAAAACTTTTTTGACTGAGAGGCTGCAGCATCAGGTTGGTATATCTGGAACAGCTCTACGGTTTTATTTTTGTTTTGTTTTTTTACTGGTGACCACAGCTCTCCCTATTCTAAAATCTGGAGTCCCCCAGGGGTCTATACTAGGTCCTACCTTGTTTTTTAAAAAAATATATATACATGCTGTCTCTTGGCTACATTATACAGAGAAATGATATTTTGTTCCACTACTGTGCTAACAGCTTAGTATTAAATGAATGGTAAAATCCACAGACTTATATTTTCTAAAAAATTAAACTGTTTAAAATTAAACAGAAAATCCTATCATTGGTCCAGAAACGCTCCATTTACTCATCAAGTCCTCCCTTGGTCCTTTATCAGTTCATGTACAATCAGTTGTCAGAAACCTGGGTGTGCTTGAGAAACACATAAGCAAGGTTAACGAGTCCTGCTGCTACAGCAGTGGCACATAAGAAACTGGCGCTGCTACACTGTTTACACTGGCTGCCCTTTACTTTAAGAACTGGTTTTAATATTCAACTTATTATTTTAAAAAACATTCATGGCCTGGCTGCCTGAGATCTTCCCAGAAACCTGTTTACTTTTCCCATCACGCTCACACTTAAAGAGAAAAGGCGATCGAGCATTTGCTGTTAGGGCTCTTCAGCTGTGAAATGACCTGCCCAAGGAAGTCCAACTCGCTTCCTCAGTGTCTTCATCAGTGCTAATTTATAGCACTTGGTAGCGCTTTTATTATAGATTTTATATCTTTGACATTCTTAGCTTATCTCCATTTCATTCTTTAAACTTTTACATTTTATGTTAAATTTATTATTTCCTATGGAGTCACATTATATTTTATTGTCTCTTGCACTTGAGTCTGGTGTGGTTTTTTATAATTGATATGGAAAATTGTTTTTATAATTTATTCCTAGGGGGCTTTTAAAAAAAATTACGTTTATTGTTTGTTTATTGCGTGTTTTTTCGAGAAGCACTTTGTAAATGCTAAGTGCTATACAAATAAATTTTATTTTATTATCTTTATGGTTCATTGATTTTTTTAAGGGTCTGTTTGGGCAGTATCACACCTAAATTGTTTTAAATTTTCATAAAAGCTGCTGGACCATGAAACCAAATGATAATTTCTAAATACTTGTGTTATTCTTCTGAAAATACTTACATTTACTATTTTATATTAAATAGATGATTAGATTTTGTCTATATGCAATTGGATCCGAACTTTATATTATATGTCATATCGTACTGTATTTATTATAAAGTCTCAACTTTGTAAACAAATGTACTCTTGAACTGAGTGAGTGCAGGCACTTACTAGATAATTAAATGAATTATGCGGAGCAGATTCATAGCCTTACTTTCAACAACTACAACAAATGCAACAGCCACAGTAATTGATTATGTATTATAAATAATAACTACACGGTCTCTCTTGGAATAGATATCTTAATCTCAAGGACACTATTTTGGATGAATATATCTGGATGAATAAAAGATAACTAACAAGATAAGTATAAATAAAAAGAAAAATCCAGTCACTTTAGAAAAAAAAAAGGGGGGGGGGGGTAAAGTGAATCGCCTAATAGGTGCTGTTGATACCTGAAAAGTTTGATTAATTTTAAATTAATAAATTGTAAAAAAAACAAAAAACAAAAAAAACCAAAAATATCCCTGCCAAGTGATTAATCTCCATGACAACCAAGAGAGAGCCGCATTCATTGATGAAAGTCGTGTGATATGATTGAAGCCTCTGGAAAAAGCTCTAAGTGGACCCAATTGGTATTCTTTTTCCAAACTAACATCGCTAAGTACATTTGCATAGCTCTTTTGTAGATAAAGGGTCGCAAAGGGTTTCCCTGTTGCAGTGAAATTTTAATGAAAAAGACATCTTACCGTGCTGCAGCAGAACTGCTGGCTGAGTGTGTGTCAGAGTGGGCTATTTACTGACTGAAGGCTTTTTTAAACATAGACATGAGCTGGAATGATCAGGAAATCCAATCTACGACTATCCCGATGCCAAAATTTCTCAAATAAAAACTAAAACCTGTCTAATCCCAGCCTTTCAGGTGGAAGGTTTTACTTATCTCATCAGAAATAAAGGTGATCTAAATATGTTTCCCCTCACAATCCTAAAAGAATTAAATGAGGAGTTAATAATACATTATTATAGCCTTTATTTAGCCTGCCCCACAAACCAAACAAAAGTGTCCCACCTGAAAAAGCCCAGAGCGGAGAGGAGTCAATGAATGGCGTCACGTGACATTTGAATTCGTTGCTTGTAAACACCAACAGCACCCAGGAAGATGCAAATAAATGTGTGGCGTGTTCACGGAAACACACCCTGAAAATCTTTCTCTCCCTCCCTCTCCTTTTCTCTCTCTCTCCTCGAGCAGAAGGCGCATCCTATAGGCTAATCAGGTGGTACTTTCAGTCCAGCCTCGGTATCCTCCTCCTGCTGCCGACAGTCGGTGTGCGCGAGGTGTTTTTGTTTGTCCGCTACCATGGTGGGAAATACGGATATCGTGTGCCTTCTCGTCCCGCTGGTGATGCTGGCGGGGTCAACCCTCCAAACCGAAGTGAAGAGCGTCAAAGAGGCGGAAAAGACGGGGAATTTCATGGAAGACGAGCAGTGGCTGTCCACCATTTCACAGTACAGCCGCAAGATCAAGCACTGGAATCGCTTCAGAGATGTAAGTGTTGATTGGGAGATCCGCTGTAATGCGGTATGAGATGCGCTGATGGGGAAACACGCACTCCACATTTCGGAAGTGTAGCCTAATAGTTATTATCACACACTTTCGAAGCGGGTTAAAGGACAGAAACTTGGTGCTGGTAGTTTTAACACATATAAATGTTTCAAAATGTGAGAAAACATAGAAAATTAAGCACCATAAGAGCTATTTTACACAGAAGGGCTTTTATAGTAGAATGAAATGGGAAATACATATAAGTGACAGAACATGGTATTGTGTATTATATTGAATTCGGGTGATTTTATAACTATTGATTCAGTAAACTTCCACAATAGAACCCAAGAAAAAAAAGCCACATTTGCAAGCACAGTCCATAGTGTATCGACTGCTGTTCTTCCTACTTTTCGCTTATGAGCCCTTTGCTCATTCTAAGCAATTAAGTTTCAGCCCCACTTGCACAGAGGCATAAACCTATTCCATCACACTGACCTGACTACTGGTTGCCCCAGATGTGCTACCAGACGTGTTCGAAGAGATTTCACAAACAAGGGAATTTAGCAATTAGAGCAGAGCCAGTGATTGATTGATGAGCATTTTCACCTACTAAACACACTAAACTGGGCTGCAGGGATTGATTAAAGCTCTCAGAGCACTGTGATATATTGCCGTGTCTGGGGCTGCATAGCCATAGTTTTGCCTTCCTTTGCTTCTCTGTGAAATGATTAGTAATGATCCCAACAGGATTTGGGCAATAGTGCAGTTGGATTAGGTTCCATATGACTCCTGTTAATTGGGTTTTAATTGATCCTATGTGGTAACTGCACTGAATGATAGGTATCATTATTGGATCTGAAATGTGAGCGGTTTGCTTCAGCTTGAGCATCTATTGTGAGAACAATGGCTTATCTGTTCTGGAAGAAAAGATGAGCCTTTCGAAGTAATAACCTTTCCCGATGAGATTGCGGTGTCATTTCTGATCCTCCTCCTTAAAACACGGGTCGTGGTCCCCGGAGAGGACGTGAACGTGTGTGAAAACTGTCAGCATCCCCTCTCGGGGACGGATTAGTTTGACTGTGATTACTTAAAGAGTGTGTCCTCTGGAACTGTACTTAGGGAAGTAATGAAATTGTGGGCATGGAAAGATTAAGTCAGAATTATGGTGGGATTATAACTCACTGGTCGTGGCTCCATATTTGATGCAGAATGTTTGTTACAGCAGCGATGTCATTATGAATTCGGCACTTCGTGATTAGCTATACAGAAACATCACTTTTCACAAACATGACAGGAATGTGACGAGTATCCCAAGATATAAACAGTTTGCTTCACGATAGAGCTTCTAATATAAAGATGTCACTTTCTCTGCTCCCCCTTTTCCCTTAATTTAACATCAAAGCTGCTGTGCAACACAAACGGCCCCTACTTTTACACACTGAATCTCTTTCATGATCATTATTCTCGAGGGTGATTGTCTCAGTGTGTTAGTGCATATGCGTGCATGCATACAGGCATACAGATGTGCTCTTGATTTTGGGAAGTCTTAACGCCCGTGTGCATGGCGGTGTCTTTGTTAATGATGATGATGACAGGAGAAAACATCAGAGGAAGTAACCAGTGAACATCCAGAGGGAATCGCCAGTAGAAACTGCTTTGATTTCAGCTTGCTGCTGTAGCAACTGCAGTCTCTGGATGAAGCACGTATCACTGGGAATTTGATGACTCTATCCACTCACAAGTCTTGCTTCAGGGTGTGGGAATAAATGGAAAATTCTTTTATTAGGGTTTCTCAGTAATTAAAACTGTAAACGTTCACAGCTGAAATACAAATTTTGCAACCAAATTGTGCTGGGGGTTTTTCTTAATAGTTGCCCCATGATGGTCTTTGAGTTAAAAAAAAGACAAAAACTGGAGCAGTTCAGTCCCTGGGAATATTTTGGTTAGTGTATAAATGACTGCCAATGACACAGTTATAGGTATTGAGATTACGCAAATTCACTTGCACAGTCCTCCGAGAGCCAAATGCTAAATATTAATCCAACGCTGGAAAGCAATAATCAAAGCAGCACAACATGAAAGAGGAGCTCTTCCACTCTTGCTTTGGCATGTACGGAAATGCACACAGATGCACACCAAACCTCCCCCCACGAAAACACACTGGATACATAGGCTGCAGAAAATGCACCGTAAATATTTTATATTTATTCTTTTGCAGGTTTTTAAAAGCAGGATCAGGATAAGAGGCTCTTTCACTTCCAATACAAACGGCTCCCACACTTCAATCTATTTGGCATCCGAGGCAGATAGATTTAACAGATACAGTCAACAAATAATAGAATGGGATACCTTCAATCCTTTAATCTGACAGGTGCACTCAACATTTCATTCCACTAATGCACCAAATCCTGGAAAAAACTATAAGACAAACATGGGAACAGGGAAGACAATCATGGTAACTGGGTGCAGATTTGTTACATTACCTCAAACATGAACAACTTTTGTCAATTTTTCGATTTTTATGAAGAATTGGTCACTTTTTAGCTTAAATGACAATCAATTAAGGGTTACACTGACATTTTTTACATTTTTATATCAGACAAAGACAACTCGAGTAAATATTAAAGGCAATTTTTAAGGGAAAAAAGTTATCCAAACATAATCCTACCAAAGTAATTGCCCCATCTTGTTACACTATTAATTAACTGGGATTAACCACATATTGAAAGCTGAGTTCAAGTTCGCTCACCACACCCAGGCTTGATTACTGTCAGACCTGTTCAATTAAGAAATACCCTAAATAGAACTTGTTGGACAAAGTGAAGCAGACTAAAATCAACATGTACATGCTACAATCTAAAGAATCTCCAGAACAGGTGAGAAACAAGTCACTGACATCAGTCCGTGTGGAAATGGTTGCATAGCCATTTCTAAGGCTTTGGGACTCCACCGAACACAGTCACAGCCATTATACACAAATGGGGAGAACTTGGAACGGCGGTGAACCTTGCCAGGAGTCGCCGTCCAACCTAAATCACTCCAAGAGTACATCAACCACTTATCCAGAAGGTCACAAAAGAACTCAGAACATCTAAAGAAATGCAGGACTCACTTGTCTCAGTCAAGGTCAGAGTTCATGATTCAACAATAAGATAGAGACTGGGCAAACATCCATGGGAGATTTTCAAGGAGAAAACCACTGCTGATGAAAAAGATTGCAAAGACTCATCTCGCATTTTACAAAAAACATCTTGATGATACCCAAGACTTTGGGGGAAATATTCTATGAACTGACATGACGAAAGCTGGAACTTTTTTGGAAGGGTTGAGTCCCGTTACATCTGGCATAAAACTAAAACAGCATCTTATAAAAAGAGCATCATACCAACAGTCAAACATGATAGTGGTAATGTGATGGTCTGGGGCTGCTTTGCTGTTTCAGGATGACTGATGGAACCAAGAAATTTGCTTTCTTCCACAAAAATCCTGAAGAAGAATGTCGGACCATCAATCTGTCCCCTGAATCTCAAACACATTCGGGTTATGTAGCAGGAAAGTGATCTAGAACACACCAGTAAGTCCACCTCTGAATGGCTTAAAAAAACAAAAAACAAATGAAGGTTATGGAGTGACTGAGTCAAAGTCTGATCTGATCTTTGGCGTGACCTTGAACAAGCCATTTATATTTGAAAATCCTCCAGTGTGGCTGAATTAAAACAACACTGCAAAGAAGAGTGGGCCAAAATCCCTCCGCAGTGATGTGAAAGACTCATTGGCAGCTATCACAAACACATGATTGCAGTTCTTGTTGCCAAGGATGGCACAATCAGTTATTAGGTTTAGCGCGCATTTACTTTTTTCACACAGGGCCAAGCAGGTTTGAATAGCTTTTATCTCTTAATGAATGAAATAATCATCTAAAAAATCATTTTAACTCAGGTTATCTTTTTCAAAGACTAAAATTTCTTTGATGATCTAAAACATTTAAATCTGATAAATATCCCCCAAGGAAAGATCAGGAAAGGGCCAAATACTTTTTCACAGCACTATGTATAGACAGTGTACTACATGATGGGAGTCTGCTGTAATTTTGTGCATTGCAGATCCACTTTTATGTTATGAAAGCAGATCAACAGTAGATTCCATTTTATTCTCAACTTACCTTGTAAAAAATAATAGCGTCCATGAAATCACACGGGCATGAAATTGTTCTGGTCCTTTATTTCTGTTGAAGTAATATGACCATATATATGTATCTAGAAATTGATGATAATAAAGAGTCAGCAATTCAACTTCATACCGAAGGATGCTCTTTATTGTTAGCCTCAGTCAAACATGGCAGCATGTACTTGTCAGAAATAGCTCAGTGTTTAAAACTGGATTTTTCAGTGTACTGTATATATTTTTTGTGCTTTCCCCCTTCCTATTCTGCACTGTCTGTGCCATAAATCCTTATCTTAAAAACATGCACGTCTCCAGTCAAGCATTTCAGGACCACCCAGTAGCAATCTTGCCTGCACCTGTTATCCATTCACTTCATTTTTAATGAACAGAAACTCGTCGGCCTGCACAAAAACATCAGATCCCTCGTCGATGTCAGTGAATTAAATATGCAGAATGGTGGAAGCACTTGGAGTAGACTCTGACAGTTCTTATTGAGATGTGATGTTGTATTCTTTTGCTCCAAAACACTAGCAGGTTTACCTTTACTACCTGTTCTCACCTGTCTGTTTTTAGTCTCTCGTGACATTTATCTGGCTACAGTGCAGCAGAACTGTGGGCGCACTCTCAGTTGCTTCTTTTATTATTTCACCATGGCATACAGAAATGATTGTGGATAAATCGTCTGTAAAGCTGGAGCCAAACTCTCCATTAAAGGCTATCCAGACGAACAGTAAATTATCATCACTAGCCCGACGCTCAGTCTGTTATTCCCACTGCACATGCTGTCTGATGTTAAAATAGACTGCTACTGATGCATTAATGCTATGAATGATGATAGC